CACAAACCCATAATGAAGACACAGAGTCCCCCCCGGCATCAGACAGCTGTACTCATCAAGAACAGCTTTGAAACAATTTCACATGGTAAAAAACTACAGCAAATCCAAATACAGTACATAGCAAGTAGTATAAGTGAACTTCATTCATTCATATCATTAATCATGTCATGGTATAATAGCTTCGTTGAATTTTACTGCCATGATTGAGGGTCTGACTGCTGTGCTGCTTTCTAAACAATATAGTATTTTTTAATATAAAGCCTTTTCCTGATCTTGAAATGTGAAATCTGGAGATAAAGATGTGCTGGAAGTCTGTATGAAAAACTGAAGAAGGGAAAAATCTCCTTATGGAACACTGAAGGTTTGGCATTAATAAGATAACAGCATGAAAAAGTGTACATTAAGCCTGCAGTGTAGGTAAGCCTTTAGAAACAATAACATCCACATCTGTTTTAACATATCCTTTTTCATTGTGGTGCTTCACAAAAGTTAAATTGGATTTTTAAACAGCTCAGGTATAAAGTGCATTTTAGACTATGATACGTTGGTGACAGATTTTTAAAAATGTTTCTCTCTGAGCCATTTCAACACCTGACGTATCCGAGTTATTTTAATATTGTTATGGTTCTTGGAAGCAACTATTGAAGTATCAATTATTAAATTAACATCTGTTTAACCATGTGTGCCTGATTTATTTTTCTTGACCAAAGGTGTGGCAGAAAAAGAACTCATACCTCTAATCATACCATCCCATTTGGCCTTTTTTCTGATATTCCTTATTTTCTTAAGCCCTATTTCTTACAATATTAAGCCTCTATAATACTATACTGTGCTAATGAAGTTCCAGTTGTTCATAGATTTTCTTTCACATCAGGCTTACTATTTCATCATCGAGCTACTATGAGCCTAGTTCTACAGAGAGATAAGATGGCATTTTTTTTCTTTTAGAATGTGGCTTTGATTTTTAAGACTAAGGACCCTTTACAGCCCTCGGCTTCAAGAACACATCTATTCTCACGTTTGGATCAGGTTTCATCCTACATCTACAAGAGCAGCATGCAATTAATATGCAGGCTCTGGGTATAATGCTTTAATGTTCCTTTGTTTTATCTCTGCAGCAGAAATATCAAGTCTAAACATGTTCTAAGCCCTGATGTCTTCCCCATGGAAAGAACACGTTTATGAGCAATCACAAGGAAAACAACCTTTTTGAACTAAACTAATTTTTAATTTCCACAGCATAATCATGTACTTTACAATTATAATAATATTCCAAACACAGCCTTAAGAGTCTTATAGGGGTAAAAACATGGACTTATTATTTCTCTGTATATATAATTTAATTTCAGCAAAGTAATTATGGTCTTACCTGTAGAATCTGAACTTCGTACTGTCAACTCGTATGTCAAGTCTGAAGCAGAAGAAGAAAAAAAACTGCATTGATATATTCTGTGGTTCAGATTAAAACAGTATAAACACGAAAGGGGTTACAGACTTTATACAAGAATTATTTGATTTATCAAATTCAAGGCCGTGTGTGCCAGTCCTAACCCAACTGTTTTCAGACATGTTAATGACAATTTATCATTGGTAAAAGTCTGTAATTAATAAAGATGAAAACGGCAACTATACAAAACAGGTGAAAAGCAACTCAAAGTGTACTTATTTTTTCTTAAATCACAAGGTATTTTAACTTGGTAAAATTTAAATATATGAATCTTTCAAAATGTAATACCTGAAAAATATCCTATTTTTAATACTCATGAATAAATATGCACTTTTATATTCAAGAAAGATTAAAACTGAAAGATCTTTTGAAGGAATAAAGTCTCACTTCACCAATTTATCATTAAAGATACAATTTGGTGAATGCATCGATATAGAGCAGTCCAAGATCAGTCATACATTTGATATATTATACATATACACCTACATTTGTTGTTTCTTTAATTCAATGGCCGTGATTCCGGGACAAAGAGCCTGACTGGGCGTAAATGCTATATTAAATTTCACTGCTGGGAGCAGGTTTAGTGGTCTGCGGGAAGGCTGTAATTCCGGGATTGTGTGCAGTGTGCCCAGGGATGGGGGGCTGTGCTACCTGTGCAGTGCTGTTGCAGCCGCCGGATCTCCGCATGGAGCCCCTTCAGCGTGTTGGCGTGGTCCTGCTGCAGGAACAGCAGGTTCTTCTGCGCACTGTGCAGCTGGTTCTCCAGGCTGACCGACGTCATGGCTGAAACCCAGGCACCTGCGCACAGCAACAAAGAATACAGTTTTACAGCACCTCTCCCACTCACGCAGGCCAAATCCAAACCACATGCAAGAAATGTATAGAGTAATTCCCTCAAAGAGTAGAAAATCTTCATCAAACATTCTACAACTCCACATCCGGCCTCTGATGGACAGCTGCTTAATCATGTAATGGGTAGAGGCAATCTGGAGTCCACCCTGGAAACACTCTGGGATGCCATTCCATTAGAGGGCAGGTATAATTGGGAGACACCAGTTAATGTAGCTAGAATGTTTTGGGAAGAGGGAAGAAATTAGACCACCCAAGTAAAAAATAACATCAAATTAGATTCTGGGTCACCAGAGAAGTTTCTGCAATTGTCAAATTCTTTGTAATAAGCTACATCAACTATACCATTCCAGTGGTCTCCAATATTTTATTGTAGACCGTTAATGTGTCTCAAGCTGTAAGATTTAACAAGACTTTCAAAACACTGTACAGAAAAAGGTCAAGCGACAAAAATCGCTTTATGGATACTGGAAATACAAATCACAACATAATTAAAAACAACATCCATTTATTTTACACAGTAATCAGGTAATTAGAATTAGCTTTTGTGTCATCTTTCAGTTCACAGCAATTGTCCAATAATCATTTACATCATGTGATTTATTACATTTTTTAAAATTAATAATTTAAGGCTATATTTAGACTGAAATTACATTTTTAGACCAGCAGAGACTACTATAGAAGTGCATTGCTGCCATCAAGGGAAAAAAATGTTATTTCATAATAATGAGATGGTATACTGTTATTATTATAAGATAGAAATGATCATTTGACTGTAAGAACAACCTGTTACATTGTGCAATGACAGCTGCACCTAGAAAATACTGATAATTCAGCGACTTTAGGTTTAGTGTTCAGGACAATGTCCAGCTCTGCAGAACATGCACAGACTTAATTTCAACTGGGGTTTATTCATAATCAAATGTTACAATTTTTACCAAATGTGAACACAATCATTTTAACCATTAGGACTCTCACACTCAACCTTAAACAAGAGTGAATGTGCTATCACTTCCACTACTTAAAAATGAAAGTTAGCTAATGATAATGCAGGTTTTATGTGACAATTGTACTATCGTGTGATAATCACAAAGTATGTGATAATTTACTATCTCGTAATTACGAGATATTTTTTTCCCCTCAATGTCAGCAATGCACTTCCATAGATGAAATCATCCAAAGAATTCTAAGAAACGCACAGAGAGCTGCAGCTTCACATTAGACTTAAAAACTGTTGTTAGACTGGTGCAATTCCATTTAAAAAAAGAGAAAGCCCAGATTTTTGCCCACTTAAATGTGAATTAAAAAAAAGATAAATAACAGAAACACAAAGAAAAAACAAAACCAATCCACCCTTACAGGAAACATCAATTTTAATCAGGATAACAGATTAATTTCTGGAACCTCCAGAGATTTTAAAAAAAGGTTTAACAACTGACCTATTTTGAACAAAAGAAATGTCACATTGAGCCTTTCGATTGAACTACATTTAACAAATGAGTGAAGTATAACTGATTAAGTAAAAAATACCAGTAATAGAAGAGATACATTATATTAATTAAATTACACAGATCTCCACTCCTTTCTTCCTCACTCAGGAGAACGCCCTGTATTGTTGAAAATGAAGCACCCCTAGCAACCACTGCACAGCAGGAGTCCTGTGTGCCCAGGTTTCTATAGTGACCTGACCTACTATTAAGCCTCCAAGCAGGCAGGTAAAGAAAGACACTATATTCCCAATAGCTGTTTTTCTTTTAATTTTTATACACCTGTTCTCTGGGGAGCTGCGAAGTGGAGGATACTGCGAAAAATGAATCTGGTCTCATACACCATGTAACAATTACAGTACTTAATTGCTAAGAAAATCCAATACAAAGAAAAGGTCATGAAAATCTACAATTACCCATATTTACAGAGAGCAATACAAACAGCTGGTTTGTTAAGCCTAGAGAATTCTGCACTCCCCATTGTGGTCAGCTGTGAGCACCAGCAGTTCTGTGATCCAGCATGCTGAGGGTGTAGAACAGGTTACTTATGTACTGTTCCATTCACAGTAGGGGGTGTGCAGTAACTGTCTTCCTAATGGACCACGGGGAAGAGCCACAGCAGGGGGCAGAGGGAAATCTAGGATAGAAAACAGCTCTGAACACACATTTTTAAACCTACATTCTTACCAAACAGCCTGCCCAGGATTTGATCAAGAAAAAAAGAGAAATGAAGAATCACAGTAGTGCGAAGGTTTAACCAAACAACTGGAACACATTTAGAACAAAATACAAATATATGATGCTGGTCCGCAGAACCCAACAGAAGAACAGCAGTTCACTCCAGACCCACCTAGATTTCTAATCTAAACACAAAATACATCCTTCGCAATTTCCAAAAATCCAATGCAAAGGAGAAAAAACACCAAACTTCTTTCCAGGATAGAAAATCCAAAGTTAAATATTATTTCTATTACTGAATATCTAATAAAGGATCAGAAATAAAAGCCTATAAAACATTTATCACATTTGTTAACTCACTCTCAAACTTTAATCAGCTACCTTTCAGGTACTCTGGTTTTAGATCAATGTTTTTAATTTATCAAACCAAGAACAGCAATCTGAAAATAAGATCTGTATCAATGGCCTTTACCAAAATACATATTCTAATAGCAATAACTATGATATCTTGAACCACGCAGCAGAATAGTCTTGTTAAATCTTTTACATTTCAGTGATATAAATGAAATAAGCACTTTTCACCTAAAAGATCATTCATGATACAAAGGCTCACAAATCCTTGTAGAAAATTAATAAAACTGTAATCACAAAGAGCTTACATAACACTCCTATTAACTTGCAATAAGAGGTTTATGTAAATAAGCATCTTAACTGAATTCTTCTTCAGTATCTCAGTTCTATTAGCAGTTTTATTACCATAATTAGTGACTGTATGTAATTGTTTTATGGTGAATGTATGGACATTACTTGTAAAAATAAATGTGTTCAAAAATCTAAAACTCCTCACTGTGATAACAGGAGGGGTAACAACAGGAATTCAATCAGTTATTTTAAATCATAATTGCTGACTTGCAAATATACAGTACAGTATATCACACATGCACCCTTTTCACACCTCTGCGTAACTTCTTAAACTGAACAAACAAAGCAACCTGAAACTGAGCTTTCTGCTCTGTGTTTGCCATTATGAGAAAACTGGATGTGCGCAGATCTTGAACAGTAAAACCTCTGTTTAGTTCTGCTAAGAGAAGCATCTTTTCTTGCACAACCAGTAACCTGAAACTCCCCTGCTTCCTGCAGTTCTTTTCATGAAATAAAGCCACTGCAGATACATAAATTGTCACATTTCCTGGTTCGCTCCTGCTGCTGCATTGGTAATTGCATTTCTTACTAGCAATTTTCTTTACTGCATGATGCAGCCCATAAAAACTTCCAGGTGGTTACAAGGCTTGCAGTAAATCTGCCGAGTTCCACAACAGGCCACATGAATTCCTGAACTGCACTTACACTGGGTGCGATCCTGATAGATTTGTAAACAGAAATTCAGAGAAGCTGTATAATACAGGTCAGGCACTTTGAGAGTACACAACAAATCACGAGAATTTGCTGAGACTGATATACAGTAGAACGTCTTTAAACATTTTCATTACAGGGCTGGTCAGCCTGATTTTGTACAAAGTTCTTATAACTTGACCGTGTACATAGATAAATTTTAGTCTTAGTTGAAATACACTGCTTTACCCAATGTATGAAATAAAACTAGAAATATCTCCTCTGGTATGATCTTCTTTTGTGCACTAACAGTGTGCAATTTGAAGAGGCCTCTCAGACCATTACTCATTTCCTATGCCATTAGGCTTCTCCATTTTCCCTGAGATAATACAAAGCTTCCTGGATTGCATATTGATTTATATGGAATAAGACAAAGATGCAGAACGCTCTTTATCATTCACTAACCTAATATTTAGCTTCTTGTCTGGACAATAAAGACATCTGTTCGCTTGTATTAAAACTACTTATGTTTTATGTCTTTGTACAAGAATATAGAAACCTGTGTGCAATAGTGCCAGTCTATCATGTTACATTCACTTATCTTTTAAATGAATATTATCTACAGAAGCCAAGACAAAACATCACACCCTCTGTCAGTTTAAAAGACAACCTGCATTGCAATCTCTCAAAACCATGAAGTAAGTTACAAGGTTCTAATAGTGAATTTAGGGGAGACTTCACAGCAAAGAACAGAATTCAGGAATATAAAAGAACAAAAGATGTCAGTTTTTCTAAATCTGCTGATTTAGATTCTGGGAATATAAATTTGAAATGCAGGGCACGCATTCGGGCCATTCAAATTGCTTTTCCTAAAACAAAGAATATGTAAATGATGACTGACCTACACGTATTCCTCTCTGGGGACACTCTTATACAGTTCGCCCATTCCCAGAATGAACATGTCTCTATTACAGAATGACGAGCTGTGACGCTTAATGACTATTACAACATGACTCATCCACTCTTCCTATAAAATCTAGATATGAATGATGTAATCATACTTATCAATAGCGACACTGTAATCAAATAAAACACCTTTTGGGGTTTTGTCATTCTTTTTCAGAATTTTCTCATAATTTCCAAGAAATGCCCAGTTTTTCCAGAGAGCTTCCTTGCTTTGGAACCATATTCTTCAATGTAAATATAACCTGTGCAAACAACTTCAAATAAGATTACACTAGACCTGGGGGGAAACAATGGTCTCAAATGATTACATATTAACAAGGAGACTGAACTTTTACAAGGTTACTTAAGTCAGAAGTGCCGTCCCCCATTACAAAACAGCCTTAAGAGAAGCCAGTATCTACTGAACTGTTGTACATGGCTTCAGTCACAGCACTAACATGATTGCAATGATAAATAATGCATTAAGAGCAGCAACCGGGAATTCAAGGATCAGAAAAGACTCCCTCTTTATACCAAAGATGGCCAGTAAAATATGCTATATAAAAATGGGGGAGAGAAATGTATTAATAAAGACACAAGTAAGTGTATCACTTTAAAATGTTTTATTCCTACACAAAAAAAAGTATATACCGCAGTCAACATTAGCTATTCTAAAAAAATAAATGATATGACTCGATACATACTGTATTCCATGTGCTTACTTTCATCAGTTACAACAAGGCTACTGGGGTACACTTTAACCTATTATACTGCCATATTTGCCACATTTCGTCCTATAAATATACATGAACAGTTCTTTTGCTAGTCCTCCTTCAAAATATTGATTTTGGCATTTTATGCTAAACACAGCTTAATAGTTTTAAAAAAGCGATGGTATTTGCTCAATAAAACTGGATAATAAACAATAAACAGGGACCGAAAAGGAATATGGACATAAAAACTTGACAGACGTGTGTCAGTTGAATGCATTTTCAGAGATGCAACAAGGCTGAATAGAGGACCAAGACGTAAAACCATAAAAAATGAGAGTATGAACCCATTCATTTTAAAACAGCAATGCTACTTAACTACTGTAAACGCAAATATAGTCCTATTACAGAGACCGACATGCAGTGTGATGCAACACCTCTATTGTTAACGGAGATGTCAACAGTCAAGGGCTACAAGACTAACAAAGGACACAGTTTTCTATGGGCCACAGCACCTATGCAGCAAGGAATCGTACTTGATATTACCTGCATTGCGGACAGGGCGATAAACCGACAAACCACTTATACATGCGCCAGCGCTGTAGCTCTCCGAAACTGGAATTAACGCAATGTTTTGGCGAAGGCTGTGAGGCGGATGAGAGCAAAAACGGAGTACTAGGTCTAAAAGCAACGAAGGCTTATTTAAGAAATGGGCAGATTCAAACTAGTGCGTGCGGCAGTCCTTCCAACACGAAACCAGGCCCTACAGAGAACACGAGCACGCGTTTCATACAAAATTAAAACCATCATCATGACCCGACGACACATTTCCACAGATCTAATGAATGGGAGATTTCCTGAGGGTTTACAACCTATTTGCTTATTTAAGGGTGAAGTGCATTCACATTTGTTAATGATACGCAACATTTTAGGATTTAGTGGCAAGAAAATGATACTGGAATCTATGAATGTTAGGAAATTCGCCAATACAGTCTGTCGTATTACAGCACATTCATTTTAACTCACACTAGGTGACGTAATATTGTGCATTTCAAATGATTTCAGGAACCAGCACAAAACCATACAACTTCATTACTCTTACAATAACACACTCCTAGGAGCTAACTCACAGGAATCCCAACCCAGTTTTTCAATATTAAAATACTGGAGACAACTACCACTACTGGTAACACCGATTCAGGCGCTAGATAACCAATGCTTATTAATTCTCCTTGGACCGTTGACCTAACTCGTTTGTCAAACAAATCCTCTGATGACAAATGCACAAAATGAGCCTCTGAGTAACCAGAGATTAAGATGTGTTTTTTGGAACAGAGACGGAGGCTCTGTATTAACACAGTATTATAAACAAGGAGCAGGTGTTTCGCATAAACCAATCAGAAAAGAGATTCGTGTTGTGAAAAACAGGTGAAAGCGAAGACAACGGGTCTTACCTGTCTCTGCTTTATAATTTAAATATTTTTTCTTTTACAAACGCGGAGCTTCCTTTCTATCCAGTCCTTTTTAGGTGTGTTGCAGCATGTTAAACGTAGATGGGAGAAGGGAGTCCGCTCTCTCGGACCGCACCGAGGTTGTGCCCGAGCTCATCTCCCGGAGCTACCAGCCAAAATAAAGCGAGGCATCATGGGATACTACCACGAACTCATCACATTCATTTGCATGCTGCGAAAGGGCTCGCATCGCTACTTCATCACAGGAGCCCAAACACTGATGGCCTCCGTCAAACTCAAACAGGACAATTCGTGAACACGCCGTTGTTGGCTCCGGCGGACCTCCCAATACACTTTTATTGTGATTTTCTTTTCAAAAGGAAGCCGTGATGAAGGTCGGCGTCGCTCCGACTGCGCAAGCGCAAGGCTCAAGTGCGGCAGTGTTGCTGTAGAAACAGACGCTCGCCTTAACAGTGTTGCTAAGGCGACATCTAGCGGCGACTGTGCTGGTTGCACGTCTGAGGAATATAGTAGTGTTGTTAATTCAACGGGAGACAAATGCCAAGTATTACTGATTACAGTTCTAAAGTTTTAAATTCAGGAAAAAAAAATAATTCTACACTATAGCAGAAATAAATACGTCTCCGTACTTCTTATATGAAATGTATTCTGGAACTTTTCGCAGCTGAACATTTTTGTGAAAATGTGTGAGGAATTTATTATTAAACAAATTGCATCATGGATTGTTTCAAACAAATCCAAATCAATAGCTTTCACACGTACACTGAAATAAAAAAGAATAATAAATACCTTACATGTCTAATAGTTTGCAATAAGTGTGAGCCACACCGCATTTTCTGTTGCTACTCCGCTGCTTTTTTTCAAATTCAAGCTTATTGTCTGGAATGTCTAAATGTCTAGAACAGCGGTAGCCAAATCCAGTGAAGGTAATCATATTTACCATAGATTTAAAAAAATATTCAAAATTCAAAATTGACTCAATTATAGACCAATATGTCTTCTATTGCATGCAGAGTTAAGGTGATTATAATTAGAACTACACTGGCGAATTACTTGTATGATAATAATGACTATGAAATATATTAATTTAAAAAAGAAAGGTCCTGCCTTTTCTCACTTTGAGTAAGTGACAACAAAAGTGGATAAAAAATGCACATGATATGGTGCATTCAGATTTTAATAGAGTTTAATAGAGTTTTGATAAAGTTCTATTAATTATTTTAGTAGAACTTTCTACCAATTCTTTTAATAAATAATTATTTAATACAATTAATGTAATTATTAAATACAAATATGCTTTTGGATGGCATGGGCATCCAAAGTTATGCATGTAGCTGATTTAAGAACAGGTAAATGGACAGATTGGTAACAGTAACTATTAACAAAAAAATATTGGTGCTCTGGAATCTGTCAAGAGCACAGTGACCATATACACTCACAATCCTACCGTGAGTCTTTTGAGATGGGTACAGTTCAAATACAGTATTCAAAATCCCCAAAGGCAGGGATAAAGCAATAACATTGGACTGTGAAAGATGAGCTACAGGACACGAGTGAACTGCAGAGACATGAACTTACAACTGAAAACAGGAGCAACATACTCAAAGAGTTATGTGTGTCTGGAATAATTTATTTACACATATAAATGTTAATGCTGACTATTACATACTCAAAGATGACAGTAGAGGGCATTAATGGATCAGCAATCATTGGAGAACAATATCTAGCATGAAAATATTTCCCTAAGAGTGGAAAAATATGTATTTTACTAAATATTATGTATCTTTACTATACAGTCTTATCTCATCAAGCAGCAACCTATTTTCTCCCACCTTTTATGAAAATAGTGGCTACAAATTAACGTTTTTTTATAAAACTTTTGCATCCATAAATGTGTTCATCCCCTTTTCCTCACGACGAGTGAACACGGCGTTATATTTTAAAAATGCAGTTAATCCTATTTATGGCTTAACAGCAAAGCACTGTGAAAAGAACACAGCAGTGTCAAGTTAATTACATCACGTCAAAAACAAAATTGTTAAAACACACGGATAGATTTCTGATTTGAAACTGTAGGACTGAGGTTGAAAAAAATGAATCATTAGATTACTTTAAAACATCATTTTAGTTTTTTTCTTCATTTTTAGATTAAATCAATACACTTACTCAATTTCGCAGTTTATGTTACGGTTTTGGTGGAGCTTTCACACCTGCTGAGTGACTATCCACGTAACTTAACGAGTGTTCTGCTGTTGAGGTTGAAGGAAACAATATGCTCTTAAAATATCTGGCTAAGAATTTCAGCCAGGCGAGGACCCTCAAACTGTTATTAAGCTTCGGTTCACAATAATGTCAAGGTCAGATCCCTGTGAAAATGGAACGGACTTCAATAGCAGTCCGAGCAGCATTCATGAGAACAAAACAGAATAACTCTTGATGAGTCAGTGAGGGAAATGGCGTAATTATTACTTTAAAGCACACTGCAAATATTTCCAATTTCTCAATCATTCCATTTTCTTTGGAATCTACTCTGGAATGGCAGATATTTAAAAAAACTAATTTGTTTTCAATTTTTCAGGAGTCTTGTTTCAGTTCGGTCAGGGTTTTTTAGGCAGTTTTCAAGGAAGCCTCGTGCAACAAAGTTGAGGTCATCCCAATACTTTTGTGGAAACTACCTTTTTGAACATTACCTATTTGTATATGATCAAGCTCCTGAGAGCTTTTGTTCTTGTCCATAATTTCATTCTTCCCTCTCGGATCTCCAGTGAAGGGTCTGGTCTCTCTTGCACCTGCTCTGTTCTTCTGTGCTCACTTTCTCCTTAAGCTTTTACTAGGTTGTTCCTTCACCTTACTCCAGTTTCTCCTGCCTGCTCATTAAGACAGAATCACATTGCTGGACAAGCCAGAGTCATCTGGATCAGTCATCTCTGACCACCATCTGACACCTGCTTGAAACTTGCATGTTCAGAGTGCACCTAAAAAGCCTTGGACTAAACTCCACTTTCAATGTACGAACCATCAAAACCAAATCAGAGTTTCCATCTGGCACACACCAGAGAAGATCATATCTCAAGAGGTTTTCCCTTACAACTATATTTGTTTTCATGTGCATTGTATTATAATCCCTCACCTCTTTAGCTATTACTTCTCCATCATGTATTGTTTTGTAATATATGCAGTAACTAAGTTGTTACAATAGGCATAGCTCAAAACCTAAAACATCACTGTAAACCAATCTGCACTGTAACGTTACTCTTGCACAATGTAAATATTTAACGTTCCGATAATAGAGGGTTAAACAGCTGTATTATAGTTAGCCAAGCTTAAATTCAGCTGTAGTTCTGTAATAATCTGAAACTCAGCCAGAAAACAGACCTGCACTGGCTCTGTCATGGGAACAAGAAGAAAGAAAGTTGTACCACATGAAAGAATGAGGTTCATTCATCCAAAAAGCAAAACAAAATCCCAGCTATTTTAAAAGAGGACAAACTCCATGATGGTTCATCTGTGGAAAGACAATAGTCATTCCTAATAAGAGACATTTTATCTCTGATCCAAACACAGCACAAGGCTCTACACCCAGGGGTCTTGAGTGAAAGAAAAACAATATATACTCAAGCTGCATGAACAAGGGCAGAAAAACTGTAGGCTTCAGAATCAGCTGGCTTTTGCTTGCATTACTAATGATATTACTTTTTGTGTACAGTGTGAGTACATTTAAAAAACAGTAATCATTTGAATTTAAAATGCTGGATTTAAATTTAAAATCTAATCCAATGAAAATATTTTACAAAGGTAATTGTAGGTAATTGATAAGGCACTATTAAAAAAATATATTTAAACTAAGTGGGATGAGCATTCATGTCCAACCTTTGTTCCTTTTGCAACATTTTTCCAAAATGAAAACATTTTGTTTGTTTTGCTAGAAAAAAGGCAGCCTCAGGAATAGAATGTGTAATCCATACCAGATGGCAATAAAAACCCTCTATGTGGTAATTTCCTTTAAGTATAAATATTTATAGATCAACAGGTGTTTTCTCAGTTTGAAACAAAAAGAATATTGACTATGTGAACGTCTTTGTTCCTTGGTCTGGCAACAGGGAATGTTAACACTTACTTTCAGTGGCAAAAAACAAGTGGACCTCTTGTTGCAGTTGTTTGTCTTAATAAACCCAAAGCACTGTCAATCTGTCTCTGCCTGAACTAGTCAGTACCCAGTTCTTAAGAGATATACCCCAATTGTTTCCAGTGAGCAGAATTTCTTTTGTTGTACAGCTACCATTAAATGGAGATAAATTAAAACAAGGAATCAATTTCCACAGTACATCTCAAATCAAGTGTTTGGGCTGAATAAATGGAATTATTGTCTTATGATATGTTTTTCTTTGGAAGCAGCTATTAATGTATCTTCAGCTTTGGCATGGTTTTGACAAGGATTAAATTCTTCTCATTTCTTTATTTTTAGTGCCTCTGGCAGTCGTCCCAGGAACCCTGTGCAGAATGGAGGAGGCTTTGCGAGTCTGAATGGCCAGCTCAAGTAGAGAATTCTTCATCTGAAACACACGCCTTATTCACAATTTGTTTTATTTAAACAAAAAATCCTAAGAAGTTTTTATGTTTCAGAACAGGTTGTAAAGTGTTGAATAATGAGCAACCACCTGACCAAGTTAAATACTAAGCAGTGCCATTATAAACTAACTTCCAAACGAATTATTCTTGTGTTTCATACTTCACTGACTCATTTGTGGGTTATCATGACATACTGTAGCTCACTATTAGGCCTATCTAAACACACCAGTTTCTGGAACTACACATAATTTGTTATATGTACAGTATGATTTGAATCCTCACTTTGAACTAAATGAGGATGTACAGTACTAAAAGAACACTTAATCTGGTACACATAATCTGAAGTTAATCAATAGAAAATATCAGCTACTGAACTTCCAGTCAAGCGATAGTAATTTTATGGACATCTTCACAAAGGGATCTTTTTAGAGCCACCAAACGTGCTGTATCAATGATGAATGATGAATATTATTTTCTAAATTCTAGAATAATTTTGAAAAGCAATCCTTAAAAAAATGTTTTGAACTAGGTTCTTTGGTTACATTGTGCATTATAAGTAAGAATGCTCAAATTATTCTACATTGTAAATCACATTGCCTACGTGGGTAATATTAAGAGTAAAGGAAAACTGGCTAAAAATATGACACTGTATGTACTAATTTTATAGTACTAGTTAAAACAAGTGACATTTCTGTCAAGGTTAAGTAAATAATATATTAATGGAGCATTATACATAAGGCATGGATGTTGGGTTGCTTTGGAAAAATCCAGTAGCATCTCTATTTTCAAATAATATTTTAACAAATGTTTGTAATTTGTGCTGGAATTATAGATCTCATCCCGGAATGGAATACAACAGACTACGGATGTGAACGTGTCCCAGTGTTTTTGGAACGGAGGATGAGGGTTAACATCAAAGCTCTTGTTTTTCTAGACAGAAGAAGGAAAATAAAGCTGTTTTGTTAAACGGAGACTCAGTAATTACTATGTTTACATTAAAAAGGTGAACATTTTCGCCGCTCAAATGTTTTGTCTTTGCCACGCTGGTCATATTGAACAGCCATCAGCCTGCTTCTTCAGAAAGATCAGGACCTCTCTACACACAAGGCCCTGCCTGGGGTTCCTCAGCTCAGCAGCTCTGTGAGAATCGGAGCACATGAACTCCGGAGCCATCTAAGTCCTATAACTTCCTTTAACAAGTTGGAACAGCAGTAAACCTACGCAAGATTTATAGCCCATAGGCCGGCATCAAGATTGTAAATTATACTCAGGGATACTTTCTTTTAATAGCGTTAAATTCAACTGTCTCTTCTGAAAATGTTCAAAGGGATCACTTACAGCCTGGTGGTATGGCTATAAATTTAATTAAACAGGATAAGCATATACTTGCTGGTGCTGTGAATCACAAAAATGATCTATTAAGCTCACTTCACAATAACAGTAGAAGGAGGAAGGGACAGAACTGGAATGCTCGCTTCATGCTGGAAAGTCACCCCCTCGAATGGTTGGCATGAGTGAAAACCCCGGACAAGTGCCAGCTGTTGTTAATGTGTTGAATGCCTTGAAATACAATCAGAATGAAGCCATGCATTTCTGAACAGTCCAGGCTTTACTGCAGGCACACAGACGCCATGCCAAGTGCAACACTTTTCAGGTTGTAATAGTTTTACTGTCTTTATATTGAAGTTGGCAAACTGAAATGGGCTGAACTCTAAAAAGCTAATTGAATTTTCCAGCAAGGGGTAGTGACCATCACTGCAATATCAAATTTCAAGTGTCAATATATAGGCATAAATGCTGATTCAAAAGAAAATCATTTTATGAATTCACTTGAGTTATTTTATCCTTTATAGATCAATTATACATATATATAGAATTGAATCTAGAATGATTTAAATTAAATTATATCTTTCTACCCAGTTTACATGGAATAAAACATAATTATACGTGATGACATTACTTGATGGATTAATATGAATTAAAAGCATGAGTAGCTGAAGAAAGGCTTAGCCGTACCCCTTCAAACTTTTTGTTTCAGTCTGACTGCTGAGAGGAAACAGCAGAAAGTCCACCAGATGTGCTGCAGTTTGCATCTGTTCTGCCGCTAGGTGCAGTCCTCGTCTACCAGCTATTAAACAAAAGAGCTCATGCAATTCAGGTACCTTTTCCGTTTAAAACTCTTCAGGAACGTCACAGCCTTTCTTGCCAGCTTGTCTTTTCTTTCTCAAATAAATCTTTTCACTCTCTGCAATAAAACAACATTTTCTGAACACTTAAAAAGCCAACAATTCGTCTGGCTTCTTATCAGATAAAGTCTCTCCAGTGTCCTTTCACCATTTCCCAGTGCCTGCTAGTCCCATCAGCTTTCTCAGACAGCACAGTCCTGCTCTGCAGGGGAGTATCGATTACACTGCTGAAAGATGGCCCGAACCTGGACTTAAGAATTGTATTTTATGTATCTGGGCTTATCAGACAATGAATGCTAATTATAATCCCAGAGTTTATCATCGTCCACCTTATTTTCATTTAATGTAAAACTTCTAAGAATGAAACAATAGAAAAAAAAGAAATAAAAAACAGGAAAGTGTTTCAAATTAAAATAAAAGTTGACATGACAGGATCTTGGTTAGACTTCAAGGAACATCTAAATCAACTTTTCATCCGAGTGAAAGCTGATGACAAATAATTCAGTTTCTTAAACATGGCTATGAAAACTAATTGTGGAAGGCTGCTGGCTTCCGCAGTTTGGTAAGCACTCAGTAAATCTCGTCATTTGTTTGCATCTTTCAGAGAATCTTGACCGTAACATGTTTGTCTATTTTTCGCAGCTATGTGTCATGTTAGACTTTGAGAATGTGTGTTACATTTTCAAAAATATTCACAGATGGGTATCAGAGTGTACTTTGGACAGTGCTTCAGATTACAACAAGAGAGCTTTTTGAGTTTGTTACGAAGGTGTGTGTTTTCTTAACAACTGGAATTTTCAACAAGATATTCTTTCCAGCAGTCGGTGTCTCAAAAATGTCTACAAAGATAAACAACCAGGTAGCCTTCAGATAATTTAACACCTTTAACCTTCAAAGTTTTGACACAGCCTTCCTGGCGAGCAGGGAGGAAAAAGAAAACATTCGGAGAACTCTACAGCTGTGAGGGTTATCAGTTGCAAGACTTTTCTTACTGCAAATATGGAATGTGCATTTCTTAAAATGTTTTTATTAATTGAAGTCTGATAAATGAGATATTATTCATGCACCACTCTCTGTCCATAGCTTCTTCTTCCTGGCTTTCACATGTTCGTGTTCTTCCCCCATAAAAATTCAACAAATTGAGATAAAACAGCTGGCCTGGGATCACTGACCTGCACATGGTGGGGGGGGGGATACTACAGATCACGACTGCCTGACGGATGGGCAAACAGAGGGACTGACAAACAGATGAACCTGGGGACATTCTCCCACTCCAGCGAGAGCAGAGATTATGGCCTTGTCACATTTATTCACACCCAGCAGGGAACTGAGAGAATAAACACAGTGTGAGTAATACAGTGCAAACAGTGAGTAAGTATTACAGTGAGTAATACAGAATATACAGAAAAATACAGTGTGAGTGTGAAATATACAGCACATTGTTTGTAGTGTGTAATATAGTACAGACAAGTACACTGAAGCCTTGGGCTGTTTGTATCTGCAACTAATATATTTTATATACAAAAATCCAATTGCTAGACATAGGATGGTACTTGTAAGTTATCAACACTCCCTTGAAATTCATCCCCACGAATCTGAAGTGAATCCAGCTGTATGTGTGGTAAACGGATTATACACTCTGAGCCTCTGGAAGGCAGCAGACAAGGATGATCCTCAATCAGTTCTGTGGCACTCCCAGGAGTTTCTGTTGAGGGAAGAGAGCGGTGTTTTTGGATTCTCAGTTTGGCCCAGGAGTTGTGCTTGGCACCAAGGAGAAACAAACCCTCCGAGCCTGTGTGCACGTCTCCTGTGGCTGGGAGGAGAAAACAGCCTCACGCTCTCAGACCCCTCATCCACTTGCTCAACATAGGTTGTTGAGCGTGTTTTTCTTTAATGGTCATGACGTCTGTATTTCATTAGTGAACTAGACGGTACTTAAGTGCTAAGGTTTCAGTTTCATTAGCATAATATTGTGATTAAATGGCAATCAGGAAGAAAATGGGATGAACTACTAGATTCCCTCCACTGATATTTTAATTAAAATGATGTAACTTGCCATGGTTTTAATTTGATACACGTCTAAGCTAAGCCCAATATTTGTCTTTTAAGTAGGTTCAAATTCCCATAGTGCACTGTCAACTGCCTGTTATTAGCAACATCCCTGTTCCAGACAATCGCTGAAGACAATCATGGTCACTGCCGCAGTGTATCTAGCTTAGTGTAAGTAGGGAACAGCACATGACTGGCAGATGAATATCCCAATAAAATCATCAGAAGTACGAATCAGCGTTATGAACATACAGGACGCACTATCACTCCTACTTTAAAAGAATACTTTATCCATGTTGAAGCCTTCACAGACATTCCTTATCAAGAAATGCCAATATGTCTACGTATAGAGGAGCCTTAATCCCTGGTCCTAAAGACCCTTAATCCTTTTGAATTTACTTCTGTACTCAGTCACCTGCCTCAAGATCAGGTTATTCTAGATGCATTATGGGTGTAATTGGTTATTAGGCGTACTTTCCAGTATCAGCTGTCATTCAGGCTGTTTGATGAGAGGTGTGTAAAGGTACAAACACCTGTGGTGTTCAGCCTAGAACAAGCTTGCAAATCAGCACACGTCACTCAGTAAGTCAGCAACTGTTGTGAAGCTTGGATCTATCCTGACCTGCAATGAAAGGCGCTATATAACCATCCAGTGCTATTTGATGTGTCAGAGAAAATGGAAGCCCTGATGAAACCGGACACCGGAAGACTGGAGCTTCAAAGACCCCTAGTGTTCATTCACCTTTCATTCTCCAGAGTCCCAGCCTGCTATCATCAAACAGCTCTCGCCTTCTCCAGATGGCTCAGCACTGATGAAGACATTAAAGTGGCACACTCCATGCCTGGAATCGATCCACATCTCGGAGTGTTTGAACTTTTCGGGAAGAATGGGAACTCTGGTTCTGTCTCTGCTTGCTGGGAGGAATGAGAAGAAACTGAGGCATGAAAACAGCAAATATATGGAAATCTCACTGAAGGAAGTTCACTATGTTAGTCCAGGTGGCCCTAAAGAAGTTGGATTTCCTCATCTCAAACCTAGGTAGAGTGAAGGAAAGAGCAGCGCCTTTTCTTCCTTATTTCTTTCTTTAAGAAACTGATGAATGAATGACTGTTAAAAACAGGAGGAAAATAAAACAAAATTCATTATGTTAGTGGCCTGTTCGACAAGTACTTTTACATATGTTTGCTGTGCTGTCTTTTGTGATGTAGAAGCCTAAAACATGAATACATATTTCCTGATGTAACTATGCTATGTGATGTAATATTTTGTTTATTCTGTAGCTTTATTCTGTACTCAATACAGTAAGCGGTGTTAATGCTAATCCCTGAAAACTGCTTTCGATAAATGTGTTGTCTTGTTGTCCATTTTTTTCATTTTCCATTTAGATTCTGATGTACAAATGAAATCACACAACCCGTACAACTAGAAGAAGTGCTGTAAATGTTGTAAAGTGAATTATTAAAAGTTCCCTGCCAGCTGCAGCCTCAGGATTGAACACAGATTTGGGGCTCTCCAAGCAAAAAATATCTGTTTACTTATATACAACAGCATAGTAGTAAATGGTACATACTGTAATTTAAAGGTTAGTACCCCTGTAGTACACTATGAATTGTCCCTTTGAGCAAATAAACGCTGTTATTTACATGTAAAACATGCTAGATATTGGGACAAAGGTCATGCTAATCTATCCTTAATGGTTCTGATACAAGTACATCTTCAGGTTAGCAATCATTGGTCCTCTCCTGTACAAACCAAATGTCACTCTCC